TTCAAAGCCAAGTGATTTCTTGAATCAGGGCATTAACAATGTGATTGTAAGATGGAAAAGAATCATCGATAAGAATGGAGAAATTTTCATTTAATAGATGTTTTGCTTTGATATATAAGTTGTTCGGGGGTTTTCATCTAAAAAAAAGCGACATTAATTTCTTGTCGACCTAATATAAACATAATGGGCAATGTATATGCTATTGCACTATGCTTAACTTTTATCGACATTTAAAACTAATAATATTTTTATTCATGAAATATATATATAAACCAATTAGAATGATTATTATCGTTAGACAATTACTAAATCAAGTAGGCTAATTGTTGCTGTTAGCTTAATTGGTTTAGAACTATTCTAAATACTAGTCTACCATCAGGGAGAGCAAATTCTGTTCTCTCTAGATCTAACTTCTAAACAACAAATTCTTCGTTTAAATAAAACGTAGGCCTATAGCTTTTCACTGCCAGTTAATAGTTATTTGTACTGATTATTCTCCCATGTATAGTTGATATTTAAACGTTTTACAGGGATTTGAACTAAATTCAAAGCTTTGAAATACTGTTTATATCGAATGCACTGGTGCATGCAGTTACTTAAACTCAGTAATTTATCGTTACAATGATACTAATAGTCTATATTATTTGGTTTAGCAATAGTATCAACTTATCATCACGATTAAACAGAAAAACGGCAACTCATCTCACATAAACAAAATATAACTATGCTATTCCATTTGCAGAATTAGGTTTAAGCAACAAATATCATTTTACATTAAATGAAGAACTTCTAACATGAAAATAAAAGTTTTGTTTACGAACAAAACAAGTAATATGGTTTTAACTTTTTATATTATAGTTTTAAAAAACATTAATATTTGCTAGTTTTATCTAACATTGTCAGGTCAATAATATTAATAGTATCCACCAGACGATACTAGGTAAACTGGCGAAACGTTGCATTTTTTAAAACTAAGACAAAAAATTAATAAGTTTTTAAAAGCATGTTACTTGTTTTATCCCTAAACAAAACTTTAATGAATATCGTTTTTTTTAGAAATACATTTCACACACACTCATTGTATGTATGAATATTTTCTTATAGAAAAGCCGCATCTGCTTTTTATCTACCTAGGAGAATCGAACCCCTGATTCTAACGTTGTAAATCCACATATTTACCGCTGTTACACCGGGGTACCACAATGTGTGAAAGACTATCCTAAACTAAAGCGGTGTTTCTAAGTTGTATCGAATTCAAACTATTTTACCATAATATTTTTCTCATATTTGTCCTATCATTATTATTATTACGACATCGAGGTCACGTGACTAGTATCACGCCACGTCATTCTCGAACTTTCACGTCTTTTCCTTAAATCTCATGATCTTTGTAGATATAGTGTAGTCTTGTACATGTATATATAAGACGGGCCACGAAGCGACGGAGGAGGAAATGAGTAATTGAACTGCAGTCAGAGAGTGTGTAATTGAACGGGGTATTGTTGAAATCGAGCACGTGAGACGTTCG